CCATGAAGTTCCAGGTGGTTTTATATAAGAAGTAAAATGATAGTGTTCTAGTGGTATCCAAAAATCAACCTCTGTACATCGATTTCAGTGGCACTCAAAATACTATAAACCTTCTATTGCATCTTTGATCTAGAATTTGCTGTATTTGGGTAGAGGTATGCTAGAACATTATATTAAGACACTTTTTCGTTCACAATTCAGTGTTTTCTCACCGTACTGTGTGTGCATAATATTTTTTCTAGGATCGAATAAATTCTGGGAAGCTGTTTGATGTACTTTACTCAGATCACATTTCAATCAACTGGAAGTTTATTGCAGTCTTCGGAAGTCATCCAGGCTGCCCTGGGTTGGATAAAGCACTAGCTATAAGCTTTAAAACCAGAATGTTTTCATGGAAACAAATTTAGAAGGTCCAGATAATAAACACTTGCCCTGTGTTAGGTTGTTTGTTTGCGTCCTCCGTATGAGAGTCCCTTGGTCTTCCACGAGGTTCAGCGTTTTCCTACTTTCGTGAGCGGACACATTTTTAATAGGTTCACTGTTGCTCCTATCGGACCTTTGTGTGCTTCGCCCTCGCAAGTTCCAGGGATTGCGAAAGTTTGTTATCATAACTAAATAGTACCTCCTCGTGACTACGGAATTCATCTCCTCGGCAGGTCATCAGACTCCTGGGTGCAATAAACAAAGAGAAAGAAACGAACTGTCCTGGGCTATAGCAGATAATTCCAGTCCCGTTGATCCGGGACAGAAATCCTAACGCATTACAGTAATTGGGTATAAACATTCTCGAAATGGCCCAGTTTATCTGCAATAGTATGTTGATCATCATGTGCCGCCCAATCTCCCCCCACCCCTCCCTAATATGAGTATAAATATGAAGTTTAACGATTACGTGATAGAATCGTGCACAACGCTCAGCACTTTTCTCGTTCGGTTCATCCATTCCGTGATCCTTGAAGGTGGTCTCTCTCTCTCGTCTGCATCACGTGACAGTCGAAAGCGAAGACTAATGGTTGTCAGTAGTGTTTTCGAAATCAGGAAAATTAGAATTTATTGTTGTATTTAAACACACCGTTGTTCCTATTGTGACTGATCTGATACTTTGCAGATGTAAGACCTTCATTCTTCAACTGGGGCGGTGTTCGGTTTTCGACAGGAAAGACAGTTGTATTTCTAGCGGATTCCATGGCTTTTTCTCACTAAATCGTGCTATTCGCTTGCCATTAAAATTGATTTTCATGTTCCTTGCTATCCAATTGTGTACTGTTTTTATGTTCAATGTGTTCACCATCTTGCTATACTTAGAAGGGTGTATTTTTTCTCTCGGAAATACAAATATTAGGGTGCATGATTTTCAATACACGAGGCTATCGTTCAAATTTGAAAACTGCTAGCAACCAATTTCCTATTCTTCTTTCTATATTCTCTCTCTGTCTGGGATGTGTATCAGAATACGAATAATATGTCGGATTGTCCAATACATCATGCATTGCACTTGTTACGCAACGGTTTCAACTAAACTATAACTTGTTACTGTAACAACTATTCAAACTTTTCTAGTAAGTGCTCTGTCGTTACCGGTTTTGGTCCTCCCGTAGCTCAGTTACCTCAAAATGCTATTGCCTTCATGTTCGCATAAACTGTTTGTGGATTGACCATCCATTGCATATGCATATACAGATATATACGCTTCACTTGTTAAACCGTTTTTCACGAATTCTCATTGTCCAGATTCGGCAACAATATCCTCGAATGGTCTCCTTGTTCTATCCAAGATATGCCCACACTACTGGCGTTCGGGATGGGAGTTTGTCTGGGTGATGCCCCGGTCCGGAGTATTGTTTCTGTCAGTTCGGTCTTAGCGAACGAGTCTGCCGAGGTGTCCACTCGCGGCCGGAATGAACCACACACGAACCCGATCGCCCCGGCTGCTAGTGTTGTACACGTGTACAACTGGATGAAGCAACTCACTCCACTGGCGGCTGTTCATCAAACCCATTCCACACGAAAACGTCGACGACATCCGTCGGATGTAAGAGCTCAGCTCAAAGCGGCCGGTCTCTGTGGTAATGGACAACTGGATCCGGGAGAAGAATGCGATTGCGGGAGCTCGTAAGTTACACGTGCGTGTCGATGTTTCTTGTTTGTTTCCGGTTTTCGAATAACAAACCAAATAAGGTGAAAGTCATGATGTGCTCATCTCGCTCTCGCACTCTCGGACTGTAATCACGAGAAGCCATGCGGGTACTTAGAGTTGATAGGCAGTATTTCTCTACTCCATAAAAATCCACATCCACGACTTTTTGTCGAGTGGGGCGGGGAGGGGGTCATAAAAGTGATTGATGTATTAAAATAATTTGATTTCATTGATGAAATCCAAATGAGCAATGCTCATCTGCGTAATGTCATAAAAATTCTACTTCAACAAGTAGCTGAAAGAACAAGTGAGCATCAGAATCTATCTGTCTGTGGTGTGTTGTGTAATACCACGTATTGCATTATTACGTAGACATGACCAAAAGAGCCAAGCCGTTTTTTTTCGTTCTCATGCACTGTACTCAGGATAGGAATGGCATAGATGGCCAACCTCCTAACACATTGGTAATCGCTTTGTCTGAGTAGATCTGTTCGAATGCATGCTTTGTTCCATTTGTCGTAAACAATAACCATTCCAAACCAGTGAGAATTGGTCTGGAATGACCGTTTATGTCATCGTACGATAGAATTAGTGGCATCCCTAACTCACAGAACGTTGTCAATTAGTTCATTCAATTCCAACCTAATACCACATTGATGAGAATGTCGAGAGTAGATAGCATCAGGTTTGTATCATAGTAAGTATTTTATTAAGTTAAGTTTATGTATTTCACACTTATCTGACTCCTGTATGTCGTTTCAAGCCAACGACAGACTATCAGTCTCTGAAGATCACGGTTGAACAAAGCTAACTCGATGAGTCTGTGCAACCCAGGTTTCTTCAGTTTGGCACAATGGTAGTCTTTCGTTCGATGGGATGAGAAATTAAAATCCGGAACCGGTCGATGGCTATGGATTGCTGATGAGGTCTCGTGAAAGCGATGTTAGATTCTTGCACTTCTCAAGGTTTCAGTTGATTAGATGAATTGAGTTTTGTGCGTAAGAATGTAGTCTGAAGAGTGGCAATCAGTTTCGATATTTAAACTTGGAGTAGACTTACTCACATTCAGTGCTCAGTGATCCATAAGGTGGTTTAGTTAGCTTTGGTCAAAATGTTACCGTGTATTGTCGCTTTGAATCACGTAAATGCGTCTCGTTGTTCGTTGTAATTGTGTCTATATCTCATATCTTTTAGCACATCCTGCCCACCGGAGTTGCGTGACTGCTGTGATGTCGACAACTGTCGTCTTCGGGCCGGTTCCGAATGTGCCGGAGGTTCGTGCTGTACCGTGGAACCGGTCCCAGAAGCTCTACGCTCTATCAAGACCCGATACCGATGCCGGTTACTCGCGGCTGGTACTGTTTGTCGAAACGCGTCCGGAAATTGTGATCTTCCGGAATATTGTGACGGACGAAGTCAGTGGTGTCCGGCAGATGTATATAAAGCAGACGGTATTCCTTGTCGGACAGAAGAAGGCCAACGGGTTAGTATTGATATATTGGGCCTCTGTTTAAATGTTGCTTGCACCGACACACAGTGGATCTATTCGACTGGTTATTCACTATTGTGAGTCGTTTTGATGTGCAGAATACTAAACCCGGGATCCGTTTTCACGATTTTACTGATGATTGGAAAAAATTAGCACAAACTGATACACTCATCAGAAAAACTCATCGTGTGTGCTTATTCCAAAATGGAACAATTTTTTTCCACATGCGTTCTATCTACGTTCAAGTGATAGTTGTATTGATTTTCTGTTGAATTCAACTTAGCTTGGGCCGGGTGAAATTAACACTGAAACAATATCGAAATCGCACGTTCATTTGTTTTGTTTCAATTTCTTCAATAAGTTTTTATGATCGTCTGTAACACGAACACTGATAGATTCAGATAGGTATGCCGGTCATAGACATGTGAATAGATCGGTTGTATACTTTTGTGCTTTACTGTCAATTAAATCTCGTCCCAACTGAATCACATCAAACCGATCGTAACGTTCATTTTTGATCACTCTTGTCTAAAATAAGTGTTTGCCCATGTTTGTTGTATGAAGTTGAAATTTGCGTCATATGTTTTTCAAAGGCAAATCACGCGTTCTTCCACAATCAGCACAACCTTAAACGTGATGGAATGGTGAAACGGGAGATGACTCACTGCCCACTGAATTCCTGCGAACCCAAATCACTGTTTTACTGACCCATTTGTGCAATGACATTTCTTTGCACTGGTATACACACTTCTGTTTTGTCAGATCTCTGTCAAGATTTTGTTTGAATTAGTATCAAAACAATTACCGGTATCACTCAATGAGCAACAATACGATCAATTAATCCAATGGGGGGGGGGAGAGAAAGCTAAGCGAATTCCGTCAATTAATTCACTGGGGGTATTTGTCTGCGTTAGTAGGTGTGTGAGCAAGCGAATGCACTCAGAGTACCGCGGTCACGTTGGGCTATGCCCAAACAGCCAATCCACAAAGCGATTCCTCGAGGTCAGTGAATCGGTTCATCCATTGGAGGCCATGATAACCGTGATGACACACACACGCACACACACGTATACACTGTTTTTTAATCTCTTTGGGGCGTGTACCACGTTTGATCAACGAAATTTGCCGATACCTCGACCGGCACCCAACTCGTCGACACATGGATTTCGATCAATTAGTGCTTCAGGCGTGACACTATTTGTGTTCTGTTCACAATTTGTTCCATCTTTTTCCTCTCTCGATCGGATCTGACTCATTGGTATTGTTTTTCAACTCGCGCGTTCCTTCCACCCGACGTGTCTCTTTTTTGAGTGGATTGTTCTGTCCCGAATCACCTATTCCAATTCCGTCCTGTTTCATCCTCGGCGGTATTTTCGACTGATTCAATGTTTAGTACCAATACCACCTCCATCCAATCAAATTAGCATCGCTAATGCGTACAGTAAGGAGCTCGCGACAATTTGTAATGCTACAGTCTTTCCGGTTTTTTTTTCAAATGTTTCACCATCGATATTAGTCCGTTTTGTACAAAGTGACTGCTCAAATGTCTCCCGCTCCACCCCGGCCGCCCGCCCACGCTTTTGTTCCCAATCTCAGTTTCCATTATTGAGCACCACGAGCTAGTGTTAAAAAAAAGCCGGCGCGTTGTTTAAAAAACGAACCCGTTGTATGACTGTCAGGTTGCGGTATACGGTAACTAAAATGCTCGCATATATTCGTCTTAGAAACAAAATATCTACGCATCACTTTACTGATTACCATTCGACAAAATTTCGACTGAGTCGGAATATGGACACATCACGAATTACTAAATATGGTAACTAGCACTCTGTGTTCCTTTTTCCACTTAGTTGACCATTGACTCGATTTTCTTGTTTCTATCCCTCCTAACTTGACACATGTATCTGTCCCCTAGTTAGCTTCGATGTGTCCGGGATTAACCCACATCTGCCACTCTGGCCTGGACAGGGAACTCAAAACGCACACACCGATTGCCTCCCATTCCATCCTCCAAGTTCTTTGTCACTCTTTCATGCACGCGCGCGAGCTAATGTGCGTGTGTTTGTGTGTCTTCGCCAAAATAGCACTGCATTTGGTTAGTTGCCAAACTACTGAATTTGGCAGTGTTATCGCTAATTTGGCCCACTCATCAACACTCAGTTCACGTAGGTGCACGGTCGGCTAGACTTTGAAAACTCACAATACAACGATCTTTACGATCGTGATGACGGATTCGCTTGTTCAGAATTTGGTTTCGTGCACAATACTAAATCTGTCTAAGGGGAGAGAGGGACAGAGTACAGCATCTTTCCAATGAGCCTATTCATTTTTCGGTGTTGTACAATTTATCACGTTGTAATGAATCACCATGTGAATAAATTGGTCATTTTCCGATCTACCTCATTTGCCGTTTGGCACGAACCGTTTATTTCGATTGATAATGATACGCAACTGCGCCTCGGTGTGTATGACTGATGTGTCAACAGGCTGTTGGTTCGTTTTGTGGACGGTCAGATTTCTAACCACATCGTGCCTCGAGTTTTGGGAGCATTGAAGCTTCACGCAGCATAACCATCCATTTTGATGCTGAGATAGCATACCAGTTCGGAACAAGTGTATTTTGAAAATAGTTGTCTATTTATTCCTGTGGTGAAGCTGTTCGGTACATCTTTTCTACATCACGTAACTTATTTGAAGCAAACTCTCCTTGAATCGGTTTATGAGCTAGAATTACCAGGTAATCCGTTAGCTACCTACTATTGTCTTGGATTCCTAACTCAATTCAAAGATCCGCACAATTTTGTCCTATTCGTCAAGAGCACTGGTAAACTTTGGCGATGACAGATTAGTGATTATAATGGAAACAATACCGGAGGTTTGAAATAGCACAGCCCTGTTGACTGAATCTGGATGTTTTTTTTTCTGGCACGAGAGTAGTAGATCGAATGGCATGACTACCGAGCATTACGAGATGAACCTGAGACGGAATGAAACCCTCACTCAATCTCGAGGACCCACTGTTTCGTCGCACTCTGAGCTGATGGACTTTGAAGTGAAAAGCCTCATGAGTTGTGAACACATTCTAATATTTTCCGAGCGCACGATAAATCGATAGATTGCTGTAGAGCTTAACTCTTCTGTTCTCGATTCGCTAACACCAGTCTTGAAGCTATTTGTGCCGAGCAGTCGATTAGCGAATTTCACCTGCTGGTTTTTCATCCCGTGCTCCTCGATTCAATTTTCAGTTGACAAACGAATCCTTCCTACACCCTGTTCTCTATGCTTCTTAGTTCCATGACTGTACACATGTTTTAAGCAATTTCGTCAGTCTGCTGAAAGATATGTTTGACCGGGATGCCGTGCGGGGTTCACAAACACGGGTGCCAACACCAAATCCGATTTTGATTGTGTCTACGCCAAACAGACAGAGAGAGAGAGAGAGAGAAAGACATGATCATTCGCAATCCCGGAGAACTTTGTTCGCGCTCAACTCTCAACGAGGATTTGGGTTTTTTCCCTTATCCAGTATACACTTTACATTGCACCCCTGTACTCTACATTCGGAGGCATTTTTTACTGCGCTTTTCTATGTGTGAAACACATGTTTATGCCATTCCTGGCGATCGAGTTTGTAAGTGATATCATTGCTCTCTGTGAATAGTGTTTCCTCGCTTGCTCTCTCTTTCTCCATAAACACACACACACACACACCAGAAGCATTTTGTACTTTTGGTGCTGTGCCATTTTTTCATTTATTCACAGGATACGTGAATTCCTGTTTTGTGGCGAGAGTCAGAGTGAGTGAGAATGTGACTTCGATGACGCATTGTTGCTTGCACGGATATTGTGAAGTTTCAATAGTTAAGTCGACAACAAAAAATCGGATGAGGTGTCTTAAATCGTGGTGAATTTGCAATACATCAATCTGTTTCAACATTCCATAAACTGTTTTCTAGAAGCTTATGTGAATAAACTATAAGCAATTTTCTTTCTCCTCGTTTCATTCCATTCAAATTTTCTGTTATCTTATCTCAGACATTTACTCCGGTACCCCCCGCCCTCCCGCCCCACCTCGCCTCGTCCCCGGAGTAAACTCTAAGATTTAGTTGATCGCTCCAGCATGAGTTTCACCTCCATCGGGTTGTTTTGTTCACATTTCAACCTCGCTTGTCAACTTTTTTCATCCAACCTGAGCGTTTCCTTTCTACGGTTTATAAAAATAGGCTGCAACTTTAGTAATATATGATAGAAAAATCCACGATGCATCTGTCGTGAATTGCCGTTCCTGATATCCTCATCGGTTCTCACTTCGACCTCATTATTTTTTCGTGTACCTTCTTACGAAACGATCTAGAGACTTGAACCAGATGTGAATGATGATCATTGTGACCGGAACTCATCATTGAGTGCACCCGACACACACTATTGAACCAACTATTCATCATTGAATATAGTCTATCTGAAGCTGATAAACAATCAATCAATTGCTCACAGTGAAACAGATAGCTAATACACCGTGTTAACTTGAACCAAGCCTAGAAATCGGATTCGCCGAATTATATACTCTGCTTGATAACCAACCGTCAGAGAATTTTCAAGTCCGAATAAAATTAATTTGTTTTCGTGTTTCTCGGTGTTTCATTTCTTGGCACCCAGAAATTGCTTTCTATCCTTTTTGCATTTGATCGCGTTGTTCTGGTACGGTTTGGAAAATACAATGGGTCACAATAGAATGCAAACTAACAAATTTGCAACAATATCACTCATGTGAACATGGAATCACCCTGTTGTCTTTTGAATGTCCCTCTTCCACTTACGCATCTACATCCTGTAAAAAGTCGAACTAACGTCAAAGTTTACACCAAAGGTTGTTTGTCGTGTAACTTATCTTTGATATGTAATTGTTTGCGATATTCATTAGGATCGTAAAGTTTGGAGTTGTGAAATAATTCAGGATATATACATATACATATATATATATATATCGTCCTTTCTGTAAATCGTGATTTACCGGCTTTTTATCTAATCGAATCTGAGTAATTCATTTGTCTTTATTATCTCTTGACCATCATTTTCCCATCCCATCCCTCGTCAGTCCCATTGTATTCGAGGTGGATGCCGTACCGCGGACAGTTGGTGTCGTACTCTGTGGGGTGATAAAGCCAGACGTGGATCCCCTGATTGTTTCTATGAAAATCATTTGTGGAATATGGGCGATAAACCGGATCCGGTGGCCAATTGTGGTAAATATCGACCGCCGCAGTCCGAGCGATGGGAAGATGCAAAGTCGTGGCCCGGTCTCGCTTGTCAATCGTGGTACGTTCAACCAATTCAGGTTTCTTCTTGCATAGTGATCTCAGATTTATTGACCTAATGAGCCATTTCCTCTCACATAGGTAATACGATACGTCAGTGGAAACTCACATTATCTGTTCTGATTTTAGTTTCGTGTGCTTCTTTCAAGCGAGCGAACCCGCTCGCAATCAGTCATTTAGAATTACAAAATTATTAATAAACTACTCGGTACTGTTTAAGTCATCCATAAGATAACCAAGTGTAGTTTGCAGCGTTTTGTTCAAACGTGCGTGCGTAAGATGGATTACACACGGATGAAGAATAATCTTTTTGCTCTTCTGGCTACTGTAGTGCGCTAAATCGAGCGTTTTAGGCGTCCAATTCCGCCAAATGTACGCTTTTCTTATGCGGTTTACCAATATCTATATTTTGTTCCCTCAAGTCGATAAAGTTGCTGTTCAGTGCCATTGGGTTATCAGGACAATTTGATCGGGAAATTCTCTATGGTCTCGGAGATTCAATGGGGCATTTTATGATCTTACAGTAAACCTAACAGGATCCAAATTGCATGGCTGTTCGAATCGACCCCGAATCTCACGATAGGCTGTTCACAGTAGTATATCAAGTGGGGCAAACGAGTTACACGCTTGCGTTTTATGATACTTTTTGTGTTCGTCGTCTATGAGAGTTAGAACAGAAGCTACCCCAAGCAATTTCTATTCTTATGTCCATGTTCATTGGATTGTATAACTGCATAATTCGTTTGGTCTTTTTTGTGCGTATCGGATGAGAGCCGATTCAAGTGAGGTTTAATCGAGTCCATTTAACAAGGAACTGGGTTTTTTCCCGAATAACCTGTCACAACACTTCTCTTCTGGTTGTTCGTGTGGTTTTCGATGATTACCACCACACGACCTGTACTACTGTAAAATCAACAATATTAACACAATGTACCTACCATCACATGTCCGATCGGATCTTGAGCTTTTATTGTATATGGAAATGGATTGGACTGCAACAAGGATTGTCCAATCTGGAATCTAAGTATTTACACGTGTCCATAAGAATTTAGTGAGATATTTGTCCCCTGGATTAGATGGAAGAACGAGTGGATGGAGGGTATAAAAACAATTTCTGCACGCAAAATGTGAACAGGTCTATATTTCGATGGGGTTTAGATTTTTTTCTGAATATAATAAAATGCACTGAAACGTCCTCCACGTTTATGGTGTGTTTCATACAGACACTCCATTTTGCATCCTATAATTCTGTGCATGACTTTCTACGCACATTCGTTGCACACGCGTGTTTCTCACTGGACCGTGGTCTGACCATTGGGTACTCACTGTTTTGCATCGGTAATGTCGGATTGTCACCCTTCAGACTAGTTGGGAGATCAAGCACAAGGCTCGAGTTTTCCACGGCTCCGTAGCCTGAGACCTCGGAATCAATCTAATCGGTGTTTAAGGGCTATACGGGACGTGGTGGAATAAAGGTGGTCACAAATTTGGTTTCTCTGAATTCTCTATCCTTATCTTGTTACGATTCTCTCGGTTTCCTACTTCTTCTGTCTGATTGTTATTCACTACCCAATCCAACGGACAACCGACGGACAGGAAGTGAAACCGGCAAATAATAGTCCAAGGTTAGTGATTGAATAAGGGTAACGATCCCGGAGCCACACAGTCGATAAACTGGCGCAACTTTTGCACAATTTATCAAATATGGGAGGGGGAATGTGTGGGCTATCAATGAGCGCGACCCATTCAGACGTACAAAAATACAGACGCGGATATCCATAGTCTATGATCTGACACGGAATGCAACAGAATCTAGAACTTGCTCATATTCTACTTTCATATGAATTTAAATACCCTCTAAATAATGTAAATTCCGGAACCGGTTTTGGCTAGTCACCATCGGAACTTCGTATACCAAATTCCAAACGGTTTAGTTGATCGCGTGATAGCATGATGTGGACAGATGGTTTTCGTTCTTCTCTGTGTGGTAATATGCTTCCTTGCGTACATTTACACTGCGCAAGGGTTTTTTTGTTCGTTGTCGATGGAACACACGGTTTCGTACACTGAAATTGAACTTTCAGATCCCTAACGGTTAACATATCGGTTGATCGGTTGATCACAATGTGCTTATTTGCGAATCCAACTTGGTTTGTTCGCGAAGCACGCGTGAGAATTAGTTGGAATAATAAAAACCTAGCATCGATGAATCGAAGGTCTTTATCACTTATTTCGGAGCTCCCATTGTTCAGTTCATTCTCAAATACCTTTCCAGCACAGCACAAATTTTCGTCCATCCCAGCTTACCATAGCTTGTTCATACAATTCGTCCCTTCCGTACGTATGCTTTTACACTGGGTTTATTCTCCTAATGCCTTGGGCATTTCGGTTATTAGAGCTTCGTATGATTCCATTGTTTTCTGCACACCACAGCATATTTTACGCTTTTTCGAAAAAGCCCATCAAAAAGAATGTGTATTCATCCCGTTCTGGGTTTCATCATTTAAGAAACAAAAAAGATGCCTGATACGTTTGTCCCAGCTACGCATCGGTCGAATTCAACACTTATGCAGGTAGACTGGCAACCGAAAGTGGTGGTATTTGGAGTTCATGTGAAAAAAACATTCTAGGATTTATTGAAAAAGTAATGTGATACCAAAATGAGGCTATCTATCTGAACTTTACTTCCTCCCACAATCGTGCGATGGTGGTGGTAGTAGTTAATCGGTTTGACTCGTTATCTTAGTCGTGTTGTCAGATCAAGGACCACACAATCGAACCTTGCTGCAGACATCTAACTTTACTATCACCCGCACGCAAGTATTAGCTATTTATGCAGTTCACTGTTTCATGTCCAGGGCTTATCGGTTAATGGTGTGTTATGGATCGCACTCGGACTGATTATTCGTGTACGTATCGAAATCCGTGCAGTGATAATAGTCCAACTTAATACTAGAATTCGGAACGAAATCAGAACACAGCACTCAACAATGGAATTGTAATGGCCGGAAAGTTGGAATGTACAAGGATATCGCGTTTAATAAAACAAACGAGTTCATAGTTTATGTGCAATAACCGCAGGTTTGCAATACTACTACTAATAATAATACTAAATAATATTAGATCCTCCTAACTACGGGTTCCCCTTTTACTCTTCGTGACACAATAATTTACAACCTTAAAATGGCACACTTTTCAGCCTATCATTCAATGTGTCCGTTCGATAGAGTTGGTTTTTCGTTTCGAGGCTATGAGCCAAACCGATGTGTTTTATCGTTTGTAGATATTGTATGTAGTTGCGCTTATACATTAGAATAATTTTCACTGTTTATTCTTGGTTCTTACTCTTTTTATCATATGCTTTCATGCGCTCGCACACACACATGCGCATACACGCGCGCCTTCTGATTTCAATCCAATTTCAGGCAAGATGCTGAATGTGGTCGCTTATGGTGTGATCATCGGAACGAGAAGGCCATGCTTCTTGGTTGGATAGACTCCCGAACTCGGGTTCTTCGATCCGGTGAGGTTTGCTCCGCCCTAGTTTACGATCCCGTTTGGCCCGCTGCCGATCCGTCCACTTGGCATGTGGATAACAATACTGTGCCCGGTCAGCATAATTTAAACTCTGCCGGGGTCGGAATTTTCTCAGCCAACACGCAGGACGCGGGTATGGTACCGGATGGAACACCATGTTCACATGGGGTGAGTCGATTAACGTGTGTGATAGTGCTGGTCATGCGCTTGACCCCGACAGATGTATTCGTGCTAGCATGTATATATTCACTTGTCATGCGGATATTCCTTTGTGTCGTTGTTGTCCTCGTGTTATGAATCGGGATGCTCTGCTCCAACTCACAGTTTCCTGATTTGCATAAAGTGATTAGCACCGTTAATGGTCGCGTTCAACGTGCACCAGTTAAACCAAACACTTTCTGACCTTACGGGTATCGGGTCAGGATAAAGGTTTCTTGACACCTGGTGCCACTGTCACCCAATAGTCCTGACAATAGATCTTTCAGATACAATCCTGTCTTTAATGTGACCCAGTGATTTACGCCAGTTCCACTTGAAATACTCAGCTGTTTTATTACACATAAGACTAGATTATTGTGAGTTGTACTCGGACCTGGGTAATCAGGAGGCGGAATCCTTTTCATGTTTGTTGTACATCACCCGAACAGCACATATTCAAATGCTTATTTGTTCTACCTCCCGAAGGAATGCATCCTTATGGATTCATATGGGTTCGGAAATGGAGACGAACAGGAGTGAGAAGGGTTGTTTTCCGGCAGGTTCATTGTTATGGCGTGAAAGGGGGCACAGTGGTGTGATGATCATTGTCAATTTCCCTTGGATAAGCACGCGCACATATTTGATCGCATCTGTCCTCCTTTGCTAAACCTTTTTAGAAATTCTCAATACAGATCAAATCACTATATCATTTTAGATATGCGAATGACTGAGCAAAATTTCCCTGGATACACATGGTCGGTCTCGCGGCTCCTGCCGCTCATCAGGCATGCGTATCCGGTAATCCTTTGTCAGTTCATTCATATACTTGTACCCAGGAAGTATATTTTCTACACAATAACCTTGTTTGCATCACGGGGTGACGTTTGGATAGACAGCTTATTCAGAACCAGTTCATTGAAGAATCAGTGCTGTAATTCAATATTTTGTAGGTGGGTTAGATGCTACTAACTGCAGCAAACGTGATTTGATAGTATTTATGGATTATTTCATAATAAGTAGTATGTGAATGAGTGGACAAAATTTCCCTGGAAGCACACGACCGGTTTCGCGGTTATTGTATCCAATATGTGTATATATATATACCGTTCATTTTGATAAGCATTACATAATCTGATATATGAAAATACATTCTGCAAAGGAGGCTTAAATCAGCAGCATCATTTCTAGTCGGACAGTAGCAATATCGTTTGAAGTGCATCGCCTTCTTCGCTTCCATTTTTTTGTCAGAAAAATGAACAGCCATAAAGCGTTCTCTGCTTAAGTTTTCGAAATGGTACAGGCTCTAATGCTCCAAGACCGGCATTCCAGATTGACTATAAGTTATCTACTTGCTTGGTCTGTATAACCTAATTTTCTTTGTTCGTGACAATAGAGGTCCACAACCCTGGTAGACATCTCCCTGTGTATTGTCACACTTGTTTCCTGATGAAGCACTTATTATTGTTTTGAATGGGCGAGGATGGTTTGCCACCTGATGTCGTGCATTTTGCCTGGATGCTTCAGCACTTCGGCCATTGATGCCATAGGGTACACAGACACTTGGTTATAGACTATCGGTGTTCGAACACCGCTGTCTACGCCACACTGCACTAGTCTGTTGGAGCAACCGGGCAAGCAAATCTGAAATTTGGAGCAGAGTTTTAGACAAACGCTTTTGTCCACCGTTACCTCGACCTTCATAGACTGTGTTCTTAGGGGCATGCGTTACGCATATCACCACATGGATTGCCATGGTGCAGGTTGTTTATCGAGGCAGGTGATGGACAGAACAACGTCAAAGGTGGTCAAACGAAAACCTGGGATGAAGGTATGAGAACCCTGACCAGGCGACATGCTCACGTAGGTCGCGTTCAGCATCCTGAATGGGGACTACGGGATCAGAGTAATCGATAGTTAAAGACACTGAAGGACGTGAATGAGTGTCGTAAACAGGTGCGCGCATGCATTTACTTAATGTTCTCGCAACCTTTGTCTCCTGGAATTCTATTTGTTCATCCTGATACTGATTTGAACGTTCCAATCTTCCTTTTTCTCTCTCATCCAAATGGGCAGTCATGGAGTATCAGCCAAAACTGTCCAACACAAGCGTATGGTTAATGGTTATGAAAACTAAAACTAGGTCGAATTCAAAATTTGGTCAAACGTCATGACATGTTTTGGGGGTGAGTGGGAAGAAATGTTCGGAATCAATGAATCCTAGATTATGCGTGTGTTTGTGTTCTTGACTCTGTTTACGATCCCAAAATAATTTTATGAGTTCTAATAAGTAGTGCTTAAACAGATTTTTGAAAGGAAATCGTTCATTCAATTCACACATACCCATCATTCCTGCATCCTTATATTTTGTTTCCATTTAATATCTTTTTGGTTGCCAAATTGGCAATCTGATGGAGATGGAGAAAATACAGGTAATAATTTTTTTTTCACTGTGAGAGCTGTTTAAAATATGCGAATGAGAAAGAAAACGAGGTGATTAGTGCTGTTCCTGACCCAGGTTTCCCAATAGCGACTAGGCGTAATCATCGATCCCATCAGATAAACCTTACTCGAACGGAAAAAAAGCAATCTTGTAGTCTCGTTTCGCCTTCGTTCACATCAACTCACCGGTCCATCACACCCATCATGACTGTTTTTCAATGATCACGTGTCACTGTGTGCAACCATTACTTCCCGTTCTAAAGAAGTCCAGATTTCGGATGGGGCAACCAGTAAATATTGTCCTCTAATGTCAAAGCCTAATGTCTATTGGCTATGCTAGCGTCGTCCAACTGGAAATGCCACCCCGACTGAACATCAAACGTCTGCATTTATCTTCTAATCACAGGATGGGGATGGGAACCGGGCATTAGAAATTTCCGAAACTGATAGGACACATGTGCAAGTGATCCTCTATGGAAATGCATATATCACTTAGACGTTGTGGGTACCAAATGGGACAAACAATACTCGGTAGACTTGCCCCTGTGATGTAACCGGATGTGACCTTTTTCCTCGTCAAAGACACCTCCGTAAAGCGCATATTACAGAACGTCAGTGAATCCACATTTGCAGTTTATTGGTGATATTTTCTCCAAATTTTCAAAAGTTAGTATCTTTGAAATAAAAAATGTACTCTAATCCAAGCTTGCTACTCTAAAAGTACTCTAATATTTTTCCAAAATTCTGTATTAATCATTATTTCGATCCTTTTTCTTCATTCACTGAGGACTCATTTTTTACTCTCCAAATTGATAGTGATGTGTTGCTTGGCTCGAAACAGGACAACCGTTCAGTGACTTTTGGTACACTGTTCGCATCATGGTCACGATTCTAAGTGAGAGATGAAACCGGTCGTCCCGAGGGGTAGTGTGCCAGGGGAATTTTCATCTCTGTTCAGTCCCCTCCCCCCAAATTACTCATACACCAAAGCGTTATTTGTTTCCCACTTGGCCCAAATTGGAACAGTGTACAGGGCTGATCGATAAACCGTATAATTGGGCCTTTGTAACCGTCTACGAACTGTTATTGCGGTTCGGTATGAATGGGACGGTAGTTCAGAATTTTATTCTGGCTTCATTAATTGGTCCATTGGATTTTTCGTTCGTGGAGACGGATTCAGTTGGTCTCCAATCCATCGTACATGTAGACAATTTTCCCCACAAATCCATAAACTTCCATCAGATTTGCTCAGAACTATTGGGGAGTAGTGATGGAGTCTCAACCAAGCTACAGTATATTGACCCTCTGGATTGTCATATGCGATTTAGATGCTTGTTATAATGGGCTGAGTTGGACGAATATAGATCCTGTTGATTGTGCGAATCGCTGGTGTCGCAGTTATTCCAACCGCAAATCCTCGTGGGAACTTATGACTAATACAGAATAAGGAGTTTCGTAAGCAGGCTTCGGCGCGCACCAGATCCAGGCGTTGTTTCAATTTATCTGAGCCCGATTCGACACAATCAAACGAGTTGTTTTGTTGTTTATTCATTGGATGACAATGTGAGCGCTCGTCGACCCCACCGTCTCGTACCTCCAAGATAAAGACTGTCTCGGCGGTGTTCCAAGCTTCCATCAATGGTATCACAGATCAGGTGGTGTTAATTACCATCACTTCACTTTGGAGGTCATGTATTGAAACCCTACCCCGTCCTTCACCACCTACTTCCCCATTTGATTAGCCACTTTTTCGTTCCCGGTAAACTATTTATACAAAAGTAAATGAATAAATCATAATGGTCCGTTTCGCTTTTCTTCTGTTTTCTTGCCTCATACGCAGATCACCACCGTGTCTCTAACGCGTGCACACTTACATGCACATATTTAATTTATAGTCCGATCGGAACTAATCACATCTTCCCCCCACTCCTTCGCTCCCCTCCGTCCATCCGTCTCTAGATGTGCTACAACGGGACCTGTACCAATGTGTACGAAATTCCATCTCGGATTGAATGTGACTGCCGTGGCCAGGGGGTGAGTTGTACACATGCGGTCGCACACAGTCCCTCATTGTTTGTTCTCCATGAGACCGTATTACATGCGGTTCCCTTTTCGATGCAACCTGGATATTTGTCAAGACATTGACATAGCACACTACGCGCCTTGATTGATGCCATTTCGGTTTGGTTCAAGTTGATGTTATCTTCTTCATTGAAGAACGTGTTGATTTAAGTTGATGTGATCAGCCGCAGTTGTCATTCTTTCCGCCCCTCTGATTGTGGTCACCAGTTTGTGTGGTAGAAGATCACCTAAAACACAGTCTTGGTATCGAGATAGCTAGATCTAAGCCACAAAACTTAACACAGAATCTTCACACTGATTCTTCGAGATTGGTTTATCTCGGATCGACGTCATTAACACGTAAATGAAATTCTAGAAGGTTTCAAGGGAGTTGTAGACAGTTCGTTGTAAAATTTCCGTTGTTGACTCGTCTCGTCAATCTGCGAATGGGGTTTGCAAAGCTTTTATGATATCTGCCAGGCTTTTGAGCGTCCCTCAGTCGTGAAGAATCTTCTTTTTGCTAACCATGCACATGACAGTTTATCCCGTATTGCAAGATGGTTTTCCCTCTTGCGGTTAAAATTTGTTCGACAATGTTTCTCCCTCCTCTTGAAGTGAACAACTTGAGGGGGCCGAGCAAACTTGTTCGCTGTTCGTTCCTGGGGATGAATATTCTGAACATAATCCAAAACATGTATAAAACACGGAGACAACTAATCGTCAACCTGGCCTAATTCTGAATGGATCGTATTCGTGACACGAAATTTACTTTCTTGAGTAATTTGTTTTATTCCAAAGAAACTCAGTGTTAATGTTTTCCCAGTATGCCGATACTTCCCTTCACATGCGTTTTATTTTGAGCCTAAATTTCACGCTCGAGTTTGTGCAACTTCATACAGACTTAGTCATCGTTTGTTTGTTGTCTTTCCCTTTCTGACACTCACATTCTGACATCTTTCGTACAGAAAACGCCTGACCTTAAATGACGGAAAAAACAACCATAGTCATACATGTATAAGATTCTGTTATCTATCCATTAAAATGTAGTGTGATCAATGCACGCTTACTGGTTAAGATCGGGTCCAATTTGAAGACCAATCTCAAAGCAATTGAAAATATGTGTGAATCATAATCGATGTACAATCCTATTCCCCGAAATTTCATTCCTGTGCAAATGAATAACATTTGCCTGATCGCCAAGGACAGACAGTATCGCCCTCACTGACAGTCCGATCAAGTGTTCTAGTTTTCGACGAGATCGATGCTGTGGTGTATTGTGTGAATCCAGTCGTGTTGTCACCTGTGAGGCTGAACTCGTCGCGCGCGCCCATGAATTCCCCGAAAACTGGTATCGGGTGCTGAGGCAAACTACTGAATAGCTATAGCAACAACACAACATCGGCGAAATTCTTCACCATTCAGTGACATCTTTTAACCACCGTGAAATATCTAGATGACGAACACTGTTTGCCC